CTTAAGATTATATATAGCCATATAAGGCAAAAATTTAACATCTAATAAAGATACGAGGCAAGACCTTACCTTAACACCGAAAAAAAAAAAACCAGGTAGTACTTTCATGTTTGCATTCTTTGCAGCTTTTACTCTGTGAATTAAATCTTCGAATACCAAATATTGCGCCTTGTGATCTAAACCCAAGAATATAGGATGCCTTTGAAATTGCTGCGTAGATAATATGCAATTCCTTAAAATATTTTATAATTATTAAATTTCTGTCTATTCGCTTTAAAAATACAACATATTAATTCTAAATATTGGTTACCTAAATTAATTCTATTTTTAGTATAAAATACTATCTTATTTCTAAAATTTAGATAGCATCTAATTATATCACCAGTAGTATGGCTCGCCACTTCCTGAAGAAAAAAGAATATCCATCGTTACCATAATAACCATATCCTCATGATTCATTTTTCTTGTCTAGTCCAAATCATTAAACGAGTGATGGGTAGTGAAGAAGCCACTACTGAATTTATTGTTGATAAAATTGAGCAGGCTTCTGACCGAGCAATATAAGAAGTTGACAAAATATTTTTAGAAGATATTGTTACTAGCGAAAGCACTTTGGAATTGAAGGCGGAAAAGCAATTGCGGAGGCTCTATGCAAAAACACCACGCTATTAAATCTACTTATATTAGACATCTTCCCAAATTATTTCATTTGGTTTGTAAGTCTAAAGGACATGTTCTACTATACACTGTCGTCATTTCAAAAACTCACTAAAATTACAATATGCATAAATAAGCAAATTATATAAAAACAACATCGAATTAATAGATCTACATATTCATAAAATAGTTTTTCCTGATTTTCAGCATTATTTTCATAATGCACCAGCCCTTCCCAGATGCATTTTGGCGAAAGCTCTCACTTCGGCGTATCTAACGATCTATTTTTTATACCAGGTATTTGCAAACTGGAGAAAGATCAAGCAAAAGAAAGCAAAATAATTGCATACTTTCAAAGCTATATTACTTTACATAGAACAGTTTATTTTTTATATTTTTTATATTTTCTGGTTTGTAAAAACTACAGCTACAGGTTTGTCTTAAGAAGCATTGTGTGTTAAAACCAAGGTGTCAGGTGAAATTTTTAAAAATGTAAATTTGTCGATTTGTGTAATTTATGAAAATCATATAATAAAATTTTAGATGTGACAAATCGTGTGACTGTTATAGGGTTGTGTTACGAAAATTACATTTTTTTTTTCATCTGAACGTACAGTACTATATATAATTTATGTAAAGTTCTTATTGATATATGCTGTATTTAATGTTAATGTTTGTAGTCAACATAGATTTATTGATTCAACTAAGTTGATATTTAAACATCAACTAAGTCGAATCATTGTATATATATTACATATTAAATATATCAGAATTTTCCAAAATTTTTTGATATTTCCTTTAAATACTGCAATAGATTAAACAAGATCGAATACTTATACACCATAATATAACTTTGATTGGTTTTTCATTATTATTTTATACTTTATATTTTTTATTAAATGAAAATATCTATATTAACAAAAAAAAAAAACTTTTTAAAAAATAATAATGCTTCAAGACTCTCAATACTAATTAATGATAAAAAAATTGTTAATAATAATGATTATTAAATAAATATTTTTAGTTCTCAGAATACAAAGCTTCCTTTATGAAATAAAAAACGTAACCATCTCTCCTTTTTGCAGAAACAATAGATCTTATTTCAAAAACTACATCAAACTATCGATTATGTGTTAGGACCAACCTTCTTGATAACCACTTCCTCCAGAGTCCAACCTGGTGACCCCCAAAACCTCGACTAAATATAACACTTTTTGTTACACCTAGCCACCCTTTGCTTAGAAATACTTTCAGAAATAATATTACCTTGACGGTCATGGTTTCTTATGAAAATGTTCACATCCATACAGGCAGGATGTTTTGTCCATGTTATCTGTCCAGTTGGTAGCTAACAACAAATAAAAAGGTAGCCTGACGGATTTACAACTTCGAAATAAAAATACTTTAAAGCACCAAAAACGATGAAGCCTAGAATCTACGTTGTATATATCGAGCGATCTGATATGGTGCTTTTAAAAAATAAAAACTAAAAGAAGATGTTGTATATATAAGAAAAGAGTATAAAGCAAACAGTAAAAATATAAAAAAATAACAAAATATTCTTTATTTCAAAAAAAGAAATTTGCGATAATTTATAATTGTTATATCTATCCGTGATTTCCCATGATAATTAACCAACCAAATTGTCAAGATAAGAACGTCCCAAATAAGGAAATGATGATCCTGATCATGCATATTAGTTCTGCCAATTAAAATTGTAAATTTTATCATGTGAAAAATATCACATGTTGATTAACCAATCAAATCGTAAATTTTTATAAAACGAAAGAAAACGAAAATTCATTAAAAATTTCTAGAAATTTATAGCTAAAAGTTCTAAAAATTCAAAATAAATACTATTAAATGTTACTGTTAGATAAACAAGTATGTATTTATTAATTTCAATTAAATTTATTAATTTTTTCATAGTATTTATTTTTAAACTTCAATAAAATAATCTACATATATATGTTTAATTCTACATTTAATTCTATGTCTAATTCTACATCTACTTAAATTTCTAATCTCCTATACTACACTATCTTACAAAACTATAATTCTAATAAGAAATCTTCGTGATTTTAATATATGTCATATATAAACTTCTTATCGTATCTTAAATACTCCTATAGTGATAATATTAAGATATTGTGTAATTAATTAATATTATTCATATATTCTTAACTTTCTAAAAGGTTTCTATATGACATGTATAATAAAAAACTATATAACTTAATTTCTTTCTCCTATACTATCATCGTTAACCATTATTTTAAGTTTTTTTTTACTTTTTTTCGCACAATAAATGAGATTTTGTCAATGTAGTAGTCGTTAATTACCTATAACTTTGGCAGGCGAAACATAATAAAGAAGTTGTAGGATTAAGAAGGATTAAACGAATATGTTGTAAGGCAAGGTGAGAACTTCAAGTTCATCTATAATTTATTCTATTTAACGGAAGAGATAAGCTATCTGAGCTTCTAAAAAAAATATTGTAAAACGTATCAAAAATTTTTTTTAACAATTGTATAATATCGGATTATCATTTCCATATTTGGGAGTCATCTAAAGCCAGGTGTGTTCACGTGACCAACAGCCAATCAAATAATAAATTTTGATTTACTCGGATCAGCCCGACGAGACAAAAACAAAGAAAAAAAGTGAAAAACACATAAAATAAAGAAAATGAGTGTCTAAACCTACCTTGGGGCACTAATAAAAAATATCGAGAAGGCAATTTTACCTATACGCCTTGCCCTAACCTTAACCTCTTGCCAACCCTTACCCTAATATTAATTAAATATTAAAAAACATATAAACATATCTGGCTTTAGCCATCCCCATATTTGGAACATTCCTACCTCGAACCAAATTGTCAAATATAGAGGTCGTCTAAAGCAAAGCAGAATCACGTGATATCTGACCAATCAAATTATAGAATTTTGATGATCGCAGGCGTAGCAAAACAAGAAATAAAAATGAAAAATCTACTTCGAATAGATTAATTAAAAATGTCGGGAAGGCAATTTTGCTTATATATAACTACTTAAAACCTAACCTAACCCCAATATAAGATGATCTTAACCCTAAAGTTAATTCAATAAAATATATATTATAAGAATCTGCTCTGCTTTAGACGTCCCCCAAATATAGACACGCATGCAGACAGTCAAGTTACATTTTTGATGCATCAATATAATATGTCTAATGAATTAATCAAGAACATAACTTGTGATGCATCAAAAATGGAATTTTTACTTCATGATTAAACATTCTGGACAATGAAGCTTTATACCAGCAAAGCTTATATACTATATACCATTATTTTTTATATTATATATTCGAAGATATTACTACCTTTACTAAAGAATATTACTATTCTCAAAATATATTATTAATTAGCAATATCACTTATACTGTATTCGTATTTGTATCTATCAAAAAGAAGAAAACTTAAGAAATTTCATTTTTATTTACGTAAATTCTTAAATAATAATTCTATTTTTCAGTTATTAAAACCATTGCATTACGTTTTTTTAAATTATTAATTAATACTATATGTACTGTACTATTTATTCTAAAGCTATATTATATCTATCTATTAGTTCTACACAAAATAAATATTAAGTTTTATTATTAAAAAAAGTAATTTAAATCTAAATACAATAACTTAATGTCACAGCTGATGCT